AGTTAAACTATCAGTCAAATTAAAACAAATGAAATATTATCAGAAGTAGAATTATGATTTGAAGCTTAATTATGGGTTAGTATGAATTTGCCATTGAATTTAGTTATTGAGCTCGCAATTAGATATTTACACATATAATGATATTTTCTGATATAAATGTAGAGTCTAAATAAAAAATATTGATCTCGGAATTTGTATATAAGATTATAGCTTTGTCCTTAATTATACTACTGATTTATTTACTTCCTCTTTATCCAATCCATGCATCATAGTCATTCATGTATTCTTCATTGTGGCCTCTTGACTATTTTCATTTGATAACAGTATTATGTCCCCTTTTTTTTCTTTAATTTATTATGTGCTCTTATTGCAATTTGCACATTGTACAACAAAAATTAGTTGTCCATGACATAATTTCCAGTTTATACGGACAATTTATTTGTCATTTTCAAATTTACTTTCCAAAAAGGAGGCCTACCACCAATTATTTGTCTTGTTTTGGGAACTAAAGACATATATGATAATTGCCAAAAACACAACAGGACCACAAAATATGTGTCTCTAGATTTTTTGTCTATAACTTAAGATCAAATTCACAATTATAATAACAAAAATAATAATATTTGACTACAATATCTCTTGCAATAGTATTTCTTATTATATATTGGTTTTTTGCTTATTAATCAGAAAAATTGGAGGTTTTGATTCTTAGCATAACCATTTATGATTGAAAGGAATATATCATTTGAGACAAGACAAGTTCTATGAAGTATAAGAAAAGACTTTGCAATGTTTTTTTTAAAAAAAAAATAACTACTATGATCGAGTCAGTTTATATATATCTTTATTGATTTTACGAATAAAAGTATCAACTAAGACTTGCATTAGTATTTGCAATTAGTAATTTTTTGCATTAGGCGTTCAATTTGGAATAATTTCATGAATAGTCGATCAACTTTTACTTAATTGCATGCATCAAATTAAATTACTTAAATTATCTTTTAATTTGTAAAGAAAAATTTGCTAGACTTTATCAAGTATCACGATAGTTACAAAACTATTTTTTATATCCAAATTAAGACTAAAATGCACTGATTTCATCTTTTTCAGAATAAAATTTGCTAAAATGTATAAAATAAATTATAATACTTAATCAAGATATGTTCCAACTTCGATCCAAAATGAATATAAATTAACAAGTAGGCACGACGAGATTATATAGCTAAAAAATATTTAACAAGATCATGCTACAGAATTTTTTAAGAAATTGAAAAAGCAATGTGAATATATTTTCACAAAAAATGACATGGTGTAAATAACAGTGGGTTAGTGGGCATAGCAATTTGACGTTTTTTATTTCGTTTTCTCTTCTTTAAAATTCAATATATATAAACAACGTAAATAACATGTTCAATGTAATTTCAGAAGTGTAGTTTGAGAAGAGTAATGTGTATGCAGTCAACCCCTATCTCGTGAAGATAGAGAGTTGATTATTTTTATATATAGACCTTCGACTTAACTAAAACATAGTAACAAAATCAAGTACATAAAAAAAACATAGTAATAAAATAGTCATGTTAAAACATAATCAAGAAGTAATAGATAGTAGTGTACAAAATAATATAAAATAGTAGTGTAAATTATTTTGTATATTACATGTAATTAGTTTATATACATATTATTCTATTTTATATACTTAAACCAATCGGAGGACCACCAAGAAGTAGGGGTAGAATATATATCTTCCATAAAAGAATCTTTTTTTTTTATTTGATTTTAAAGAATTTATAAAAGAATCAAATTTGATGGTTGTCAAATTGGCATCCAACTACTTTGAGAAATCAAAATAAAAATTAAATTCTTCTTATGACTTCTTCCTGAAGAAAACATACTATTTAAACAATCCCCAAATTAAATAATATTATATGTTGTTTAATTTAATTTCTCCCTAGCTCCCTTTATTTTGGAACTCTTAGTTCATATTAATATTTTGCTTTCATTGAAGAAGTCTATACAATCCATGCTTATCTATACGTATTATTATATATATTATACCAATATATATCTCAACTTGACTATTAAATAAATTCCTAAAACATGATATCATTTTTTTCTCAATGATCGCGATGTATTTTAATTTTTTTAGGGTGTGTTTGGTATGAAGAAAAATATCTTCATAGAAATATATTTATTTTTTCTGTGTTTTATAAATAATTAAAAAAATATTATCTCTCTAATGTCTTTATCTAATGTAGCAAAACAATATGGGATAAATTGAGCGGGAGTGGGGATTCAAAGGCCGAGGGAAGGGGGAGGGGGGAGGAATAAAGGGATGGGATTTAGGGGTGTGCAAAAACCGATTTAACCAATAAACCGAACCGAAAAAAACACTATTGGTTTATTGATATTGGGTTATTGGGCTAACAGTTTTTAAATGGTTTTGCAAATTTTTTTATTGGGTTATTGGTTCGGTTTCCGGTTTTATAATTTTTGTTAATGGTTAAACCGATAACCCAATAAGACTATACTAAATTTACTAGTTTTATTGTTAATGGTTAAACGATTGTTACTTTCACACTTTTTGTTAATGGTTAAACGATTGTTACTTTCACACTTTTTCCTTTGAATGTGTCTAGTGTCTAAACTTGCAAGAAAAATGATTGTTACTTTTATGATTATTACTTTCATGCCAAATGCTGGAAAAATCATATGGTTTATTTGAAAAATTTCTTATTGTGTATATAATATATATGAGTATTTTCTTATTGGTTAAACCGAAAACCGAACCGTTAAGTACCATAAACCGATAAGAAATATGTTATTGGTTTGGTTATCGGTTTGAAGTATTTACAAACCGAAAACCGATAAACCGAACCAATAACACCTAAAACCGAACCGAACCGACCGATGCGCACCCCTAGATGGGAAGAAGGCTAAAAAATTGAAATGTCACGTATGAAACTTGTTTTCTCTGTTTTCATTAGAAAAGTTATTTTTCTGATTTTTAAGAAATTTATTTTTCTAGAAAAAATATTTTGATCAACCAAATATATAAGGATTTAATGTCTTTGAGTAATTTTCTCATATTTATTTTGGCACATGTATTGTTTATTACGTAAGTACAATTTTATAGTTTACATCAAAATCTATTTAATTTAATTAATTCTAATAAAAAAAAGATCAAGCAATCTTTGAGAAGTCGGCTGTTAATTATAAATAATTAATCAAAGTGGTTAAACTTTTAATAGTGCGTCACCACATCACTTGAGACACATTATTATTATTATTATTATGAAAGCTGGCTTCTTCTTTTTTTGACAGAATATAATTTTATAGTCAAACATATTTATTTGGAAAAAGGATGGTCGATTATGAATCTTCATATTTCTAATTATGTTAATCATGAGTCTTATGACAAAGTGGAGTTGGCGGCTGAGTTTATGAAACAATGACAATAATTAAAAGTAAAATTTATTATATATAGTGTGATACTTTATTTTTTAAAAAATAAATAAATTAAAGTATCAGATCATTTAGAAATATATCTATAATGTCATTCGTAAAAACCTAAGTTTATAATCTTAAAAATGAAATAGGCATGCTTCTAAAAAGATTGTTCAATCCATAAAGCATATCTCACATGCATGATCTTTTTTGAATTTGAGTTGAATGAATTGAATTATGAGTATATTATGATGACCTATCACACTCATCTATTAACGCGAAATAATATCAATAGGATGTGTGTTATTTAAATGATTCTCACATTTGAAATATTCAAAAGTTAAAAGAGGAGAAATTTGGAATTTCGTAAAAGCCTTGATGATTTAACTTATAGCTTGTTGAAAGAATATCTGATAAAAAATCTCGATATTGAATTCCGAGAATTTGAATTAATCGAAACAGAAAATGAATATTGGTGATCGGATAGAAACTCCTTTAATTAGTGGGAGTTGGTTCAAGTGTTCAACCTACTTAATTTGTCCAAATATGCGACAAGTTGAGTGTTAGAACTTAAAACCAATAAATTGCAAACACAATTTTGAAGGACTCGAATGGGTACTTGACCCTTTATTATTTTACACAAATGATTGTTAGTAATGATAAAGATATTTAACTATATCATAATGGTCATTATTGATTCAATTTGAATTAACAAATATTGTTTAAATAAAAAATACTAAAAGAAACTTTTTTGCTTTTATGCATGTACACACAAAATAGTACCTCCAAAAGGACACCTTGAAAAGGTCAAGAGATCATAATTCAAATCGTAGTTTCTGAATTAGAACCTTAACGATTACTTGACTTGATGAGTTTGAAAACTCCAACGATATTGTACCGTAAAGAGGGTAAATCATTGGAACTCAAAAGAAAAAGACTTATGGTGAGATATAATCTCTCCTCTATCTAAGTAAAACGAAAGATTGTAATAATTAATATGCAACTCTGATTTCCATATACTAGAGTTAATTATGTGAAATATAATTTCTGTTAAGAAGTGAAATTAAATCAAATGAACGAAAAAGAATGCACATTATCATGAAGCTTCAAATTTCACAAGTGAAATCTCACGACAATATCAATGAGTTTCACCACTAAAATTTTAAATTTCATGTCTATAACTATTTTTCAATCACATAGACTTACAAGTGGCTATTTATGAAATTTCCCTACTCATATCCCATAAGCAATGTTGGAGCATTTCATCGCACATTTCCCCTTCAAATGAGCTGATCTTTATTTTTACTTTTTGAAATCAAACTTATGCCTAGCAAGATCATTACATGTGTAATATTATGATGCAAATATATACACTTATGTTCCACGAAAAAGTTATTTACTTCAAAAAATAAAAATTAAAGACCAACACAAAATACAGACAAAAATACAAATAACCCATGTTGGAATACATCTCAAATAGAAGAACTGGACTTAAATACAAAAAGCCCATAATCATCTCTAAAAAGCCCAAAAAAAATCCAGCCCAATCAAACTGTCTTCAACATACCAACAAAACCCGAAATTCTGCATATCCCCTTTCTCATTCGATCGGATCAACCGTTTCAATCTTCATTTTTCTCGTTAATCAAGGTACGTTTTTGCTCATTTTAATCGATTTACGTTAAATTTGATTGTAATCATAGTTTAATTTACTTGTTTTTGTGAGAATTTTCTGTCATGATTAAGAGTTATTTTTTTTCGATCGATTGAATTTTTTTAATTTTTTTTTGGGTTTTGAAGAGATCTTAATTATGGATGGTGAAATTAAGAACATCAAGAAGTGGAACATACTGTATCCAGTTTATATAAATTCAAAAAAGACGATAGCGGAAGGAAGAAGAATTTGTGTGACGAAAGCTTGTGAAAACCCTACTTGTACTGAGATTAGTGATTGCTGCAACTTCCTCAAAATTCCTTGTGCAATTGAGGTTTGATTTTTTGCAGTTTTTGCTTTGCTTGTTTCTAAGATTATATTTTGGTTTGTTTTTTCAATTTTTTTGCTTTGCTTGATTCAAAGATTATATATTTAGCATTTATGATTATGTACATGTAGTTTGAACTTGTACCTGACCTTATATAATAGGGCAAGATAAGATATATGTATAACAAAGACTCAACTATGCATTGATCCCAAAATAGTTAGGTCATTGATATAAATGTCAGTATTTATCTGCTGTAAGCAGGCTCATTTCATTGGAATGCTAAAATAGTTCATCTTTAAAGGCAAATTAGTGCTGTGTTGAGCTCCATAGACTCCTTAAGTCTCGCATTTCTACACAACATACAGAAACCTATCTAGAATAATCAGACTATGGGCACTAACTTCCCAAGGGTGTGGCCTAGATGCGTGGCTTTCAATGAAGTGGGGGAGAACCATGTTTCAGATTCAAATTCCAGCAAAGAAAAAAATACTAGGGTGATTTTTTCCCATCTGTTTAAGTCTTACTTGTGTTGTTGGGAGGCAGCCGGTAGGAATTAGTTGAGGTGCATGCAAGCTGTGATAGATACCATTGTCATTAAAGAAAGAATAATCAGACTATGGCAAACAACGGAATTAATGCAAGTGTTGTAACAACAACTAAGTCCTCATCCCAAGCTCCCAACTAGTTAATATTATGTATATGAGTCCTTTGGTTTCATCGTATTTCGTTTTTTTTTTCTTTAGGGCAACAAAAGATAAAGAAATATGGGGGAAAAAAAAAGTGCAAGGATTAGAATTTTGAATAGCAGCTGGAATCGACCACTCTTTCTAGGTTCTCCAAATCTCCTGAACTTTGGTAAAGGTGTTAATCACCGTGTGATTTGTTGGGTTAATATTTACTTGTAGGAGCAAATTTCTGAATAGAATGTTGTGTTTTTATTTAATTGCTCCCAATGAAATCGGTGGTAAGCTGTTTAAAAACAAAGTGTACTTGTGCAAAATAAGTTAATTGTGGTGATGTCTGCAGCATCTTTAAGTCTCTTAAGGACGTGATGTGCCTTAAATCGGTGGTAAGCTGTTTAAAAACAAAGTGTACTTGTGTAAAATAAGTTAATTGTGGTGATGTCTGCAGCATCTTTAAGTCTCTCAAGTACATGATGTGCCTTAAAAAATAAAGATGGCAATTTGCGAGCAATATTGTTTCTATTAATGTTTTCTGAACTATTGAATCGTTGAACATATAAGATTGAAAAAAATTTGCTTATAGTTATTTTCTAAATCGGTTGTTACAGCTTGATAAGGCATATCCACGGGATTTCATGCAAAGAGGAAGAGTGAGAGTTTTGCTAAAGCGGGAAGATGGAACCCCTTACAATCCTGTCATTCCTTCACGTAAGAAAATCCCTACCACCCACCCCACCCCTTTTTGGGGAGTGGGGGGCATTGTTCTATCCTCTATTTTCTTAATGCTTTTTGCAAAGCATTATAGTTTCATAACATGTTGAGTGATTTCATACTTTGATTAAACTCTCTTTTAAGCTTTAAACAATGAGCTTGTTTGATTTATATGGAAAATTGTCTATGTTCTTGAACTAAGGAAGAACGTCATATGGGTGATAACACTAAATATTTCAAATGGAAGTGAATACCATTTATCTATAACCTAAAATTGTTCTACACCATTTTTATGAAGTTATAGCCACCATTCTTAATTGATGTTATCGTAGGCCACTCTACGTAGTGTAATTGGAATATATTGCGTCATAAAAATGTCTGTTGACAACAAAGAACAAACGTGCTATGTTTCAACCCCAAACTAGTGGAGTATATGAATTCTCTATATCCTCCCAATCTCTATTTGGTCGCAATTCATTCCAACACTCTAATTTTTCTGTAAAATTCTCTTAGGCTGTACTGGCTTAGTGCAACTATCTTATACAATATATTATTTACCCATAAGAAAGGAGATTCTCGAAGATTAAAGTTCCTTTAAGTCTTACAGTATTACTTTTAAAAAAAGAGATCTTGCAAGACTGTTTTTCATGCGAGGAATAGGGAAATGCTTTCTTAATTCTTTTGACTTAATATTCTAAATTGGCTGTGAAGGAGGAGTATCCAAGCAACTCCGTACTAGTATTAATTATTTTTGGATGGATTCAGTTGAGCACCATATACACTTGTACATGTTTTTTTTTCACCGACTTGGTTTTTCTTCATGATTCTTTTTGGTTTCTAGTATATGAGGCTTTGTGCATGTGTGGGGGTTGTTTTCAATTATGAGATACGTCGTTGTGTTTTGAAAGAAATCGAGTCACACACAAGTGTCTAGTTGTTAAAAGAACATATGATACAGTCAGAGCTTTAACTGATGGTTTTGGTGGTATTTGGGGATATTTCCTCGTTTTCTTTGTCAAGCTCCTATAACTTGTTTTCCTTTCTAAAGCTTAATAATTGAAACAGGCGCTAACTTTCTAGGGTTGTATATTGCAGGGAAACAGCTGATGATCAATGTTGCAGAGTTGGTTCGAAGACATCCTAATAGGACTAAGAAGCAGGAGCCTGCAGCCTCTTCTGCAGCTGGTTCTTCAAAGTCTGGCAAGGGAGGTAGAAAGAAGAGATAGTTTTACGAGGCAACATTTCAATTTCTTCAAACTGTTTAGAGATCTTAGTTTTACTATTTATCTCGGAATATTTTAGTCCTTTCTTTTTTACTTGATTTGAGAGATGTTGCAAAGAAGAGAAAGGATGTATGAGCTATCGAAGAATGTCCCATATTTGTATCATCGATCTAGACATTTTTGTTATTTTTTCGGCCTAAACTTAGCTCTTGATTGTTAATAGTTGCTTCTGATTACATCTACATATGCTTTTATCCAAATTAGTTGGAGTCAACAATATGGATCAATCTCAAACTAGTCAGCACTGATGATATGAGTGCACTCTCAATATGAGCTACTGGCATGAACTGAACTTCATCTGGTTTATTATGTCCAACATACTGGTGAACTGTGCAATGAAAAATTTATTTCCGGAAAAAAATAAAATTTGATTTCTAAACCTTAAAACTCACGCTCTGCCCAGAAGTTACCCAATAACAACATACAATATGGAATCCCCCCCCCCCCCCCCCCCCCCCCCCATGTAAGGTTGGAAAAGGATAGAGTGTATCGAAGAAGTACCCGAAACTACATATAATAACAAAAAATGACTGTAGTCAGCCAGAAGTTACCCATTGACAAATTTGGCTATGACCAAAATGAAATACATTTATTATATTGTTTTGTTTCAAATACAGCTTTATATGACATTTGAAAGGAAGGGAAAAAAGAGACAACCTTGTATGTATTGTATAATGTTGTACGTGACCATAGAGGACACAAATCAACCAGCCATGAATCAATATAAACGAAATGAATCGGGTAATAACATCCGCATAATCCAACTTTGAATAGAGGAAAAGTTGAGATCAGAATCCTGGACCAAGCACGCTCCTTGTTAAAGACAACCCAACTGGATAAGATCTGTGAATCCTCATTTTGCTAGCAACTGGACCTTTGGCAAAATTGTCAATAATATCTTTTCCTTCTGTATCCATAACTGATTTTGGTGGCACACTTGAATCATTAGATTCGACAATGAATTCAAGCCCCTAAATTGCAATACATTGTATGATTAGACATTATGAACAATTGAACGGCCGACCAAATCCAGTAAATCAGGTTCAAGAGAACCAATGTACCTTCACAGAATTTTCCTTGGGAGTTACCTTTGAATGCTCTATCAGCTTAGCTTCGATGCCCTTTCCGAAATTCCAATAGCCAAAATAAGAATACATCTTTATGTTTTGAAAAAGAGGGAATAGTGAAGGACAAATGGAATATTTTCCCACCAAGCAAAACTGCAGTTCCATTTTAATGCATAGCCAACAAATACGAGTAACAAACACCAAAATTTTGCCCTCAAGGCCTAGCTCGATTGGCAAAAGGTGGAGGATTTGTGGCTTAGGTCGCAAGTTCAAGCCCCACACCATGCAAAGCGAAACCTGGTATTTAAGTGGAGAAGGGTAGAGGGGTGGGGGCCCATTATCAACCGAGTTTAGAAGGCTGTGATTGGTCCTAAGGGCGGGTCACAGACGGATTTCTCGGTTATCCAAAAAAAAAAAACACCAAAATTTCCAAGAGATCGTGTTTGTTCTGATTACAATCAAATGATCTTCATAAATAATGGAAAGAAGCCTAAGTTTTTCTTAGCAGTAGCATAATTACAGTTTTTATGGTTTAGGTCAGTTACCAAGTCATTTCAAGTAAATCTTATAGGTAATTTGCCAAGCACCAAAGGAGAAAGTCATTGTTCAGCAGAATGGAAAAGACACAGGCGTCGCCGTTGATCACAGCCTTAATTGGAAATGCAAACACTCATTCAAAATGCAACAGAGAAAAGACAAGAAAAACCTTAAGTAGCTGCTTGTATTCCTTACGGGAGAAAGAAAGTGAATAAAGAGGAAGGACAACAATAGTCAAAAAGCTTTCATCTATTAACATAATAAAAATACCTGAATAACCTTAGTATTTTGAACATCCTTAATGCCCCCAGCAGCTTGGCACAAGTACCACAAACCAGAATTAGTCACATCCTGTGGGGTGGGGATATAAACAAGCACAAGTTGTGATGCAACTGCAATAGTAATAGACAGAACATAGGAAGAAGGGACAAAAAGTATGTTGCAGACATATATAGATATTCACCTGGTTACTCTCAAGAAGCTCAATCTTCCCTTCCTGCCAAATTGAGCAACAACTGAAAGATTACAAAATGACTAGCCAACGGATCTTTACTAGCAATGCCATATTGACACAATTTGTCAAGCAACGTACTCACCAATCCAGACACCATCTCATGGATTAAGTTTATATCGAAACCAATTTGATTTAGATTAGCCTTAACATCTCTCACCTGCATAAAGAAACATCTGATGTTGAGCACCGACAAAGAAAGTATCCCAGTGCCTCGATGCATAAAATCTATGACTAAGATATTCAAGCAAGTAATCAGCTATAATTATTTTCTGGCCTTAACCGTTACCCTTAAAAAAAATAAAAATTTGGCCTCAAATTTTACAAGCAACCGACAAAATTCAGCTCTTATTGGCAAGTTCTCCCAGTAATTTTCTGCTATACATCTGTCAAGTTTTGACGAAGAATTCGATTGGTACCTCATTCCCCTCGTGATTTTTTTCTCATTATAACTGAGGCAAAACTTAATATTTTTTTTCCCTTTAGTGTGCAGGTATGGAAACAGGAGTTACAGGAAACTACTTCTCACATAAGATAAAAGAATCCTTCCTAATACATCAATGTTAAAAGGAGAATGGGAAGAACTGTTGTTCTCCTTACATCATTAGTAATAAGGTTTGATATCTCAATTTGCTCATCTAGCTTCCAGTCCAAGTTTTCCAGCCTCTTAGTCAAATGTCTTCTTGTAGACTACAAAAGAAATATCAGTGAAAAAAGTATGAGAACAGCTATTAGCATATATTACACAGATAATCCAGGAAACTCTTGACAAATCTTGACTCACAGTCAATGCATCAGATACATTCTCCAACTGCTTAGACACAGATGCAACAGCATTCGCCATATTATGCTTTGTCACATACATTACATCGGAAAATGACCAACCCTGTGGAGGATTAGTAAGAGCATATAAGATTTATAACAAACATATAACGGAATATCCTAGAGGTGTCAATAGATATAAACTGCAGCAGGGAATACTTGCCTTCCACTTCATGTAACAATATCCCATTGCCCCAACTGCAGCAGCTGGAAGAATGTAAGAACCATAGCTCCCTAAAAAAGCAAAGGCTCATAACCATGTCAGCTCTACTTCAACTGGATCATCCATCAATAAAGGACAAGTAGGGTATTTACGTTACTAGTATTCTAGCCCCAACAGGGGCAGTTGTGCGCTTTGATAAGTAATAAACAAGAGCAATATTGAAGAAAGGGTAACAGAAACTTAGGAAATATGCTTCTTGACTTGGGAAGACTACAAACAAACTGGGGTCAAAGAACTTCCGCTTTCATGTTGAAAAAAGGCATCTTCATAGGAGAGGCATTACATAATTCAAAACTTAATTATCCGGGTCCATTTAAGAAATTGCTGTCTCCATTCTAGAGAATTCAGCACAGGCACTAAGATGGGAGACACAATGTAAAGTGAACATAAAAAGACAAAAACATACCACTGGAGGAAGAATCCTTATTGAAAATAGTAATTGGATTTGATATGCTCATCTCCCGGATCTCTTGTGCTAATTGTCGAATCTAAAGGCAATATCAGAACCAAGAAAGGTTTGGATCAGGTAACAAGTGGAGTTACATAGGAAACATGTACTTGTTAATTTGTAACATCACATTAACATATACAAGGAGCTCTGCCTTGCCACTTCCTTCTTCATTGGATAAGTATATACATAGAAGATTCATATAACTGACCCAATTTTAGTATTAATGCTACATACAAATGCCATGCACATTAAAGCGCAAAAGTCAAGTTCAACGATGAAACATATTTTGGTAAGAGTAATGCTTCAAAGTTGTTGAATTGTATTGACCATTGTGAAGAGTCCCACATCACTGGGAAGGGAATTTGGACCTTTTATATGGTCTTGGATAATGCTCAACTCTTGAGCAAGCTTTTAGGGATGAGTTAGGCCCAATGTCCATTTTTTTAACATGGTATCAGAGCTCATCCCATCCTAAGTCATGGTTTACCAATATTGGACCCCCATATAAAATTGTCCACACTCCAAACGTCTAGCCTTGGGCGTGAGGGATGTGTGTGTGAAGACGAAGAGTCCCACATCTGCAATGGGAAGGAAATTTGGACTCTTTATATAGTCTTAGCATAATCCTCATCTCTTGAGTTAGCTTTAGGGGTTGAGTTAGGTGCAATGTCCATTTTCTTAACAACCACTGACTAGCTCGTCCAAAAGCTTAAATCATTAGAAATGAAATACTTTTATTTATCAAGGTTGTCAATACGCCCTCTTTTCTAAAAAAAACTCTTGAGTCATGAGCGTATAAATATTTTTTCGCTGATGGATAGAGATGAGACTCAAACCAAGGACGTCACGTACTATGCTACCATGTTGAATTTGTGTGACTACCTCATTAAAAGCTTAAACTATTACACAAAAGACACTCTTATTTATTTATTTATTTTAGGTCAACATAATAATATCCTCTTCTTCTATTTGAAGGGAATGAAGATGGTACCAATGAGCTTCAAAGTATATTTTATGATAAACATTGTGACATGGCTAACCGGCTTCCCCTAACCCTTTTGATTATTTCCCCTCTCTACCTTGTGCCACTAAATCTGAAGTATCATATGACAATGTCTTGAATAAAATTGTATGTTTTTTACCTTTATCTTCTTTTCCTTCAAAACAACCGACGAATCTACTTTGATAAGCACGAGATAAATGTAATTCACTAACAAAAAGACAAATGTAATACCTGAGCTGCTAGAAGAGCAGTGTCATATTTACCAGGAGATGTCTCAGCTGCATTCACGCCATTTATCACCTCCTGAAGCTGCGAGATCAGCTCAGATAATCGTCCACTTTTCAATATTACTGACCCAGTCAAACCTACACCACAACCAAATTAGTCTTCTCCCAAAGGAAGAACCTATAGATATTTGAAGGAACTATTAACTCAGATTCGAACTGCAACAAAACTTGAAGATGCCAATAATCCAAGACTGCTTTCTCCCCCAACATCCAATATCATGTGTCTGTGTCCTAATAAAATTTCTGCTCTAGGGTAGTATTAAAAGTAAATCCATAGAAGGGAGGGGGGGGGGGGGGGTTCGGTCCACCAAAGGAAATGCAACACGACAGAAGAGTTTGTGTCTGTGTCCAACGAATTGACCACGACTACAATCTGCTTTTCATTCTCGTTCCCAGCCCTGTAGGGGAAAGGGGCTCAGCTTTTACTTCAATTAAGCACCCTCTCCCCTTCTTCCCCCTCTAAATCCCTCAAGCCTCAAGGTTAAACATTAGCTATTATGAGTGTATATTTAACATTGCACACTCTCAACACAACTGAGGAGAAAATTTGCAAACCCTTTGACAAATTCCTGAATGTTTTTTCTCCAAATTCCTGGATATAAAGGAAGTTTTGGATACTAGTTTAACGGCCAATGTAAAATAAGCCTATGCTGAGTTCTCTGAATACTGTAGGAACTTAACAAAGCAGACTGAATATAGAGGATTCATATCGTCCACCTTAACTATCTGGGATTGAGGCATAGTTATTTATCCATTACTACTAATAAAATTACTCAAACAATCACTTTCTGTTAGATCAAGGTTCCAATATCCAAGTTATCAGCTAAACAAAGCTAATTTCCTCGAGCTTCAGAAGCAAAACGAATCTCTCTTTCTTTCTTCCTTCCTTCCTTTTCATTGACTACTCAAAAGTAAAACAACTATAAACGGAATATAAACTGATGAACACTATATATATTCAGAGAAATCACCTGCGCCGACGAGTATGAGTACTTTGGAAGTGGCGACGCCGGTTTGCATCGCCATGTTTCGGTGTCGTGAAACCGCCGCCGGTGGAGCTAATCGTTGAATTTCAATATTCCCGGCGAACTTATACCTTTTCCTTTTTGTCCAACTTATTGAATGCTTTAATTATTAATATACAAAGTCATTTGTTATACAATTATTTAATTTCACAAATTTACTGGGAAAAAATATTTGAAAGTTACACTTTACTGTTTAAGAAAAACTGCCACACGATTTTTGTAGAATTATAAATATTATCTTATCTTTATATTTAGAAACTTGGAAAATTCTAAATATGTTATTGTCTTGTTACAAATTCTTCAAACTGAATCTGAATTAGTTAGTTGACGATGGTTTATATTAGCCTTTTGATAATATTCTCTTTTTTTCAATTTATTCATTAAAATCAATATACGAGAAAAAGAGGAAAAATAAATACTAAATGGGAAAATTAGTTTTTGCCTACTCATTATCACATATTCACGCTATTTACTATTCTATTTATGAGCGGAGCTAGAGAATCAGACATTCATTTAAAACTCTTTTGACGAAAAATCAATTTATATATATGTGTGTGTGTGTGTTTATATTATATAATAGATATTGAATCTATTCATGTCGGGTAATCATGTAGCTCAGTTGGTCAACTGATTGAACTCCCATCCTATTGGTGAGTGTTCGATTCGCCACTGCATAATCTCCTCTCTAATTTAAGGAAAAAAAATATGTTACAACGTGGAGAATCGAACTCTCGCCAACAAGATGAAAGTTCAATCACTTAACCAACTAAGCTACTAATGTTTACCCAAACTAATATTCCCTCTATTTTAATTTATATGACTCATTATTTTTTAGTCAGTTTTAAAAAGAAAAATATATTTATATGTTTAGTAACAATTTAATTTTAAAATGATTGTTTTACTTTAATGAATGATTTATAGTCACATAAATATTTACAACTTATTTTAAACCATAAGTTTTAAAGTCCTTTTTAAAAATAAAATAAAAATATCATGCTAAAGCAAACTCATCACATAGGGATGAAAAAAAATAACATAATACCAAATCAATACTTAGAGAGTTTTTTTGCGATGGTTTGATTATACAAATTTACCATTGTTTAAACCTTAATTTACTGGGTAAATATTCGAAGTTACAGTTTACGGTCAGTAGAAAGTTAAGAAAAATTACCACGTGACTTTATAAAATTGTAAATATTCTCGTTAACTTTATTTAAAGATTTTTGAAAATTTTACATATGTTATGTTCTCTATTATAAAATTCGTCAAATTTAAATTAATTAGCCATAAAATGATACAGTACTTGACTGGTTTCTGCGTTACCATTTTTGACAATATTCTCGATTTTTCAATTTATTCATTAATATCATACACGAGAAAAGGAGAAAAAATAAATAACTTTGAAAGAAATTGGTTTTTGCTTCGTTTTTAATCTCCTCTCTAATTTAAGAAAAAATATGTATGTTACAATGTGATGGATCGAACTCTCGTCAGTCGTCAATAAGGTAAAAGTTCAAATACTCAACCAATCGAGCTATTAATGTCTCCCTAACTAATAATACAATATCAAATATTAAAGGGTTTTTTCTAATCGGTATAATTTTTTTTATCATTTTATCACTCTTAGCTCGAGAATTTAGTTTATTTTTTCTCATTGTATTTGATCTAGTGATGAATATTAATACAGAAAATGTACAGTAAAAAATAAATTTATGCATTTTATTAAGGAATGATTCAAAAGAGATAGAGATAGATCGAAAAAATATGGATGAGAGGCGATTAGACAAGACATGAGACCGTCACAACTTATTGAGAATATAACCTAAGATATAAATTTTGGAACGACACGAATTAGACTAGAAAGTTAATTGGTAGGAGTGTAGTGACTTGTTGCCCTTACTAGTAGGGGTAATACTAATTTTGTAGTTTCTTATTCTTTAATTTAGATTATTATGTGTTGTTTCGTCTATTTCAATTATAGAATTATTATTATAATAGTACTATTTTGCTACTATATGTTATTTTTTTATTGTCTTTTCTATTTCCATTACATTTTTTAAAATTAATTTTGTCTTGAACCGAGAGTCTATCACAACCTCTCTATTTCACCTCTGAGATATCATATATATTCTATCAGACTCGATTATGTGAAATTATACGGAGTATATTGTTGTATTAATTTACTTTTGCGATAAAAATCAACTCACTTTGAACTATACTATTAAGTAAAATTCACTCAAATTTTATTTTCTTTAACATTTTGAATATTCAGCTATATATTGTAAAATTCCCGCCTAATTTTCGCACCAAACTCACGTTTTTGGAATCATCCGTCGTATTCCGGTAGAAAATAATCGCCGAATCGCTATCTCCTCGGCCGTCGGGGACATGGGAGATGTGAAGAAGAAATGGAGCGTTACGTACACGAAGCATCTTAAGCAGAAGCGAAAAGTTTATCAAGATGGATTCTTAGAGCTTCAATCCTCCAGCCACAAGGTGTGTTTAGATATTTCCGTACTTAGATTTTCCATTTTCAGATCCATTTGCCTGTTTATACATCTTGAAATTGGTTGAAATACCATATTTTAGCTTCTAAGTATTCTAATTTGGTAGATATCACGTTCTGAGTAATTTGAGGAAAAAATTGTAAATCAACCAGTTGTTTGGGAGTTAATACATGATTCCCTTTGAGTTGATACCGGATGAGCTGAGAGCTGAAAATTTATGTCGGTGAGTGCGAATTAGCATTGTGTTCATTGCTCCTTTTTGACTATGAGTCTGAACTTTGTATGCTTTATTTAAGATGTAAATTATGTGCCGTTTCAAGTAATTTGAGAAAAAAACAAATTAACCAGTTGTTTGGTAGTTATGATACAAATTGATAAAAAATCAAAGACATTCTGGGAATTTTACATCAGTGAGTGCGAATTAGCACTGTGTTCATTGCTCCCTAGACTTTGTATGTTTTATTAAGATGTAATTTATGTGCTGCTTCAAGTAATTTGAGAAAAAAAACAAATTAACCAGTTGTTTGCGAGTTGTGATACACATTTGATTTAAAATCAGAGGCTGGTCTGGGAATTTACGTCACTGAGTGCGAATTAGCACTGTGCTCATTGCTCCCTTTTGACAATGAGTCTGGACTTCATATGTTTTATTTAAGCTGTAAATTATGTTTCAGTTCCATGTATTGTTTTACTCACGCTTAATCCAAATTGCTTTCCAATCTTAAGTTATGCAAAAACTTGATAACTTGGCAGCGATATCATAAGATTTGTTTTTGGGTCCATCTGTGTAGTCATTTGGGGCATGAGTATATATATGTAACTATTATGAGCTGCTTGCAAATGGAACTTCAGTAAGGTAATGTAGCATCTTAAGCAAAGAAGATCCAACAAAATAAGCAGTGAGTGCCGATAGTATTGGAAGCAGAATGTATAGAAGATGTAAAGAAACGTGTTAGTGGCGTGGATTATGGATTATTTGATGTACTCACTACCTTTATATACTGGATTCTTCTCAAGCTGCTAGAGTTATATTAGTGCTACTATCAAGGAGTCTACTGGTACCTAAATAAAATATGTTTGGAAGGGGATGTATGGACTACCCTTGGCGGTTGAATAGGAAGGGTCTGGGTCTGGTAAAACCATAAAATACATCATCAAGCAATTGTGTGTAACACAATAAAAAGTTCTGGTTCTTATACAGGTAATGCTCTATGATGATTGTGAGAAGCTGTTAGGCGTTAAGATTTTGAAGAACGATAATGATGTCAAACCAGGCGAAACACTGGCATTTGATTCTTACCTTGTTGATATTGGTGATCCTCACGGTGATTACAAACCTATACCCATATTTAATAGTACTAAACTGATGAAAAAGGAAGTTCCTGAGGAATCTGGGCTGTTGCATTCTGGAAAAAGATCAGCTGCTGCTGGTATCCCTGAACATTTTTTCTTTTCTTTTGGCTTTCGCAGTTGTTTATGATTTGATGTTGTTCTTCATTTTTTATAGTCTGCACATGATATTTCTTTTTTGCAACATTTTCTTTCTTTTCCCCCAGATAATAGGAAATCTAATCTGGGGAAAAGGATAGCATTGGCAAGTACTCTAAGCCCATCACAAAAGATTATCAGAGGTTCGTCAGATGATTTCTGTCCTGCTATATCAGTGAAGTGCAATAATATGTTTATTTCTTTGGTCACTGTTTCTGACATGATGAAGTTCACAGCATGAATTCACGAGGGCCTGTACAAACACATGATTTCTTATTATTGAGTCTCTGATTGTAAGATTATGGGCCGTATGTGTTTTATATGAGTTAGAAAGTTCAAGCTGATCTTTATTAATCTATCTGATGTCTTTCCTCTGTTATTGTTCTGAGTGTGTACTATTTCAATTACGAATTTCAACTTGCAGAGTTCAAGAAGAATGAAGTACATAAATATAATTCTTCTCCAAGTTTTCTTGACATGACAAAGTCAAGCACAGAAGGTAGGAAATTACTTTTGCAGCAACTATGCTAACTATTATTTTGGTGCATTTTGTGGTAAATATTTTTTTTGTTTCAAGCTTAGAGAACTTTGCTATTTTTACTTCCTCTAGTCCAAATTTAGTAGATCTAGTTTCTCTTTTAGTCCATTCTTCATGAAAAAAGAAAAGACCGTTCTACATAATCTTATATTCACTCTTTGTAAAGAGATGCATCCCTCTCATTTCATTTTCAAACCACTGCATAGCTGGATGTTTCTTTATGTACCTGTACACAACTAGTCATCATAGGGACACATTCTTTTTTGAAAAAATGAGCTTGTGTGTATATATATATATATATATATATATATATAAGAGCTTGTTCATCATTTCATCAGGCTATGAAGATGTCAGTTGTTATGTTCCTCTTGTTCATGTATTCATCTTTTGGGTTTTGAAAATCTACAGGGAGGTGCCTGTTAAACCCCCTACCTCTGGATGAACTAATTTTTTTTTTGCATCAAGTAGTACAATGAGTTGCTTTACTCGGGGTGTAATGTACTTTTAACAAAAGTCCTACTTTCTCGAACCTGAACTATACTTTGGACAATCTCTAGACCAAACTACTATCAGAAACACACTAGTACCTTCTTCTTTTAGGGTATGCTCTATTAGAATTAACCAACTAAGTTGAGATGATTATAGAAGTAAAGCTGGCTATCATGTTTCCCCTACTGGATTTGAAAATTCAGTTCTCATAAATTGCAGTTTCTCTCCATCTTTCAGTATTTTCTGAGAATGAGTTTCTATTTTGTTTTTTAATTCAGAATGGCAGGTATTGTACACAACACAAATGACTCAAAAGTCAAAGAAATTCCATGATGGATTTTTACAACTTGTGATGTCTAGCTCACATTGCAAACAGGTTGGTTTCTGCAAATTATTATTCATCTAACTTGTATGTATTGAACACCTTCCACTGCTCAGCATCAGCTTGTCACTAACATCTGTGTGCTTGGATCTATATAGTATATGTTGCTCTTTTTTGTTTAATTTTTATAATATGTATTAGAATTGCATCACCAACCTTAAGCTCCTCCTCCCTCAGCCAAAGCAAAAAGCTTGTTGTTGCTTGCTTATGAGAGCAATGTAAAATTTTAACCCGTAGATGTCAATGAAATTCCTTTATAAACTCTTGCTAATGCAAGAGTAAATGTTGTATTCCAAATATCTAGCATACATATATTCATAGCCACACAGGATTGTTGTCTTTGGGTCTCTTGAGAGTTTCAACTTGAAGGTGAATATGGCCTCAAGTTTCATACTCCCTCCGTTTCACAAAGAATGGTCTAGTTTGACTTGGCACGGAGTTTAAGAAAATAAAGAATACTTTTGAATCCTGTGGTCCTAAATTAAAGTTATGTCAAATGTACAAGATTGTCCTTTAATCTTGTGGCCTTAAACATGCCACGTGGAAAGCTTAAATTAAAATGTTACCAAAAAAAGAAAGAGGTTATTCTTTTTGAAACAGACTAAAAAGGAAAGGAGGTCATTCTTTTTGAGACGGAGAGAGTACTTCTGATCAAAGCATGCATTAAATGAAAACCTTTTTTATCTTTACTAAAAATTATTACTCCTATTTGTTAACTTCTGGACTTCCAGTTAAGGTCCACATGCAAAGAGCCAACAAGGTATTGCCAGGGAATCAGGGGTGGAGCAAGATGAATATTGAAAAGATTGGTTTATATACTAGCTTATCTGAATTGTAGCTGTAAAGCTTTGTGAAAGAGTGGTGTTCTTCTTTCTAAATTTTAAATAGAAGTGCATACTTATGCTCAATAATACAACAACATAACCAGTGAGTCGTGCTCAATATTATGTCCTTATATTGCTGACCTTATTTTTTTTTACTAAAATGGTTTGCTGATTGTTTCCAGATCATGCTGTATGATGCAACCAGGAGACTCCTTGATAGCAGGTTTCTGAGAAAGAGCGAGAGCATCATGTCTGGCAACTCGGTAACATTTGATGGTCACTTAGTGGAGATAGGAGAATGTGAGGAGGACCAAAATCCTCGACAGGACATTAGTCCTCAAGGAAAACATATCATGGAACTTGTGAAAAGAGGACCAATACGTGGGGAAGTCACTGTCCACGATAAGTTTGCCGCTGGTAGGTCTGACTTTGTCAAAAATAAAGAATCAGTAAGGTAAAAATAATGTATTTGATGCTCATGTAGGTAGTCCACCTTATAATAGATGTTTTTATGACTATCTAGTTTTGCACATCCTATTATCTTGGACTTATAAATGGAACTTTGAAGTTTCCATGTCTTTAGGTTTGGATGGGCCAGCTTCTGTGAATTTAGATTGTGTTTCAAGAGTTTTTCCGAAAAATATTGTTTGTATATTTTGAATATGATTATCATGTTTCACTTGTTAGGCTATTTTAAGAAGTTGTCCGATATCTTAAAACGAGAACTTTTTCTTAGTCTCTGTATTGGTGTAAACGACACTTCCTTCAAGTTTAGTCATAGTAATGGTCCTGAATCTATGTATAACAGTCTGAACTCTATAAGCATGCCGCTTCCTTGCATTCCTAACAACATTTCAATCCAATGATGATCTTCAATTCCATTTCTGGATCCACCATCTTCTGACACCAGTGAACAATGAACTCTACTCTTAAACTTAGCATCATGTTAAAATAGGTCAAAAGATACAGGATGGAGTGCTACTAGTTATTGGACAACCTCCAGGACTTGCTCTTAAAGTACGATTCTATATATTTTTTGCAGAATGGGATGTCATGTATACTACTCAAATAACTCAGAGGGCAAAAAAGTACAGCAATGGAATCCTTAGATTTTCATCCTGTGGTTCCTACCAATCTCAGGTTAGTCTATTCATCCACACTCCCCGCAACTGTAATTTAGTCATCTTTGTCAAGTTTGCCTAGGATTTGGTTGATAAGCATGTCTGCTCTTATCTTATTTTAATCTGCCTAGTATTTTTATGGTTGCGTAGATTTTTGGAAGCTAATCAGTCAGGTGTCTAAATCTTTGCATCAAGATTTGATTCAGATTTTCAGCATTAACTGACCAACTATTTTTTGACTTCCTAATTTGGATTATTTTCAAACATCAATCAAAACATTTAGCTGATGATATTACAGATCTCAATCTTATTAGCTGGTTCTGACATTAACACACACCACAAACAAGCCAGGTTACTCTACTTACAGAAGACGGGATCATACTATGCCGAAGGTTTCTCAAGTTATCAGAACATGTCACAACTGGAACTACACTGAATCTGCCAAATTACTTGGTTGATGTTGGTGACATAAGGACAAGTCCAGAAGGTAATTTTCTATGCTACATGGCTAATATTCTTGCTCTCTTCAATCAGTAAGGTAGGTTGGTCATTTAGCAGTCACATGCTTTCACTGTCTTGACAACTCTATGTTTATGGATCTGATTTCATTGCTATGTGCAGGAAAACCTCAAAATGGTGCTTCTTCCCAAGAGCATGCACAACCTGACATTAAAATATCTGGACTCGACAAAATCAAATTAAGTAGGAGAATATCCTCTAACAAGCCAATTCCTAATAGTAAGTCTGTTGGCAATTTAGTGAATAAAATGATGTTGATCTCCAGAAACAAAGCAATCTTGCCTTTTCTTTGCTTAGTTCAACTTTACATTTTATTTTGTTTCTGCTATCAAACTTTAGTACTTTTCAAAAGTATTTAGATATCGATAAGTAACAGCAAAAACTTCTCATCCCTCCACTATTTTTTATAGCATGTTGTTACATAGTATCACACATGATTACAACATCAGAAAAGTATATTATAGGGTACAGAACTCGCGATCTTACTCTCAACATCTAGAACCTCCATTATGCTCACTTTTCCTGCTTCCAATTGGCTTTGCTTAACAGGGGAACCTCAAATTGGAGCTTGTTCACTGGAACATGTGGATTCGAAGACTGCAAGTGTTAACAACTCTACAAGTTGTCAGATATCCAAAACTAACTCTGTTCGTGCAGGTAAGCTGTTGGTCTTTTCTTTATGTAAGGATCAGAATTTAACTTTTCTCCAGAAGATCTGGTCAAGATCATTTGCTCATGACTTTCAGCCATTTTGGTTAATCAATGGAACTTCTAATTAAGACAACAAATTGAAAGATTCAATCATATTGAGTTGTATGTGGCACACTACTTAGGCTGGATCAAAGAGGCTTTAAAAATGGTAAAACTCATGCAGGAACTTTTGAAAGCTCTCAGTATTTGTTCCTTCACTATCTTAACCTATGTTGCTTGGACTCTTCAAAAATGTCGACGGGTGCATGTCGAATCCTCCGAAAATAGTGTATTTTTTAAGGATCCGACACGGGTGTGACAACATTTTTGGATAGTCCGAGTAACTTAGATCTTAACAAGCACCTGTACTCTTGAATTTGTGGACTTATAGTTTGCTGAGCCTCCTTACCTTGGATTAGTTCCTGAAAATCTTACACGTGGGGAACTGGCTAATTGTCATAACATTAGAAATGCTTTTTCTATTCAAAAAGTGGCATATGTAGGTCACAAGAAAATCATTACAAGTAATTTCTGAAGTAAGTTCTCTAACTAAACAAAAAAGGAACAAAATGTCAACCACTTATGACAAGGAGGGGACAATAGGGTTAGGACAAAAGTGGAGAAATGAGGCAAACAGAGAAACAAGAATAGAATCAGCAAAACAGAATGTGGGGGTAAAGAGTTGCACTGGAGTTTAAAACTTTACTGTTTAAATCATTTGTGATGTTTGATTGAGGTGAAGGAGGAATGATTGGAGAGGGGAAGAAAAACAACAACATACCCTGTGAAATCCACTAAGTGGGGTCTGGGGAAGAAAAAGAGGGATGCAAATTATTTCCCTTGTTTGGAAGGTGTAAAAGTGGAGAGATTTGAAATTTGGATACACAAAAGTAGAAGTGGAGGGGTTTGATTATATGATGCTCAGAAGTCGAACTACGGTGGTTTGAATTTTGGATTCTCCTGTATAGCTGCTTTTTGAACCCGCCCACCTTGTTTGCACCAAATAACCAGAAGTAAATCATCAATTGTTTCTCTCTCCTGTATCATTCCTTCCCTTTTCACGATACCAAACAAATGTCAGCAAACTGCAATTTTTTCTTTTGACTAAGCAAGTCATAAGGTTTATTTGGGAAAATTGTGATATGGTATCATCAAAATGAAACCCCGAAAAGCTGAACCCCCCTTTAACTAATGTTTTGTTTTTATGATAAGCAGAGATAAGATGTTTTCTTTCTTCTTATGCAAATGAACATGCTGACAGTAACTACTCTGTTTTAGCTTAATAAAAAATATCAATGGAAATGGATTTTCCTTCTACTGTTGTACATTTGTGTTATTGACAATGTATGACTTTCATAATTTTGTTTTGGGGATAACACTGAGCTGCCTTTGGTTTATTAATGTTTGTGTAAGAGACCAGCTTAGCTTGATACTTAAATCAGTCAATAATCTCCAAGTTCATACTATATAAAGATAAATATCAAGGACTTGTGTATCTTTCATAATTTTGTTTTGGGGATAACACTGAGCTGCCTTTGGTTTATTAATGTTTGTGTAAGAGACCAGCTTAGCTTGATACTTAAATCAGTCAATAATCTCCAAGTTCATACTATATAAAGATAAATATCAAGGACTGGTGTATATTTATCCAGTTCAACTGATTAATTAGACATGCATATATGCTATTCATTGAGTAAGCTAACTTACTTCTTTTTGGCAAGTATGCCTCATAGTGTTTTCTTTCTGCCAATCTAGTCAATTGCTAAATACATCTTTTTAACTTTTGATGCTATATGCCTCTTGACAGCCCACGAAATCTTGTCCTTTCTTAGAAAACCCGTCACTTCGGAAGGTGCTGTCACAGTAAGGGACAACACATATGCAGATGAATGCCAACTACTGCAGTCATCAAGTCTTGCTTGCAGTGTTGTTAAGAGTCAAACAGAGGAACATCTGCCTCAAGGCATCAATGCTGAAGGTAGTTCACCAGAGCATAGGGAAGAAGGAATTATCATGGCGCACATCTCAGAGATGAAAGTTACTGATGCATTCCGATCGGACGGCATATCCCAATCATTGGATTGTTCCAACCAAAGAGTATCTCATACTCATTCATCAGGCTTGTCAGCAGGGTAAGTACTGAAATTCATATCACAACAGCTAAGCCCCCTTTGATTTGTCAACTTTATCTGCTGATGTGTCTATGGTTGTGTTATGATAATCCATCTTAGCTGTGAAGTGACACAAAGCGAGAGGTTATCACTTAATAGGTGAAGCTATGCACTTCAGAGAAGTTCGCACAAAGTGATTCCAACAAGAATCAGTGGTTTCTTTGACTCTATACTTTGAGGGGCTGGATTAGTATGACATCATTATATAATGGAAGCTGAAATTAGTTATATTAATTGCAACTTAATTCATAGATATTTGATATTTTTTAGTCTTATGAAACTTGTGTGCTTAGCTTCAAAGAAGTGTGAGTTTCACTTCTTGCTTTTCACATCAAACTCCATGGACCTTGTCGCTTTTTTGCACTTTTTGCTTTTTAATAACATTGGTCTATGGATACTTAGCATATCAGGATAAGACATATCTAACTATTGTTCATATGTGTTACGAACTTACGATTATATGACAATTTTAACTAGTACTTGTCATATTTGGTTTGAATTAATTCTTTCCAGATTAGCAGCAGCGGATATATGGTCGTGTGATATAGAATACGCTCTCACAGAGAGGTCCCCAACTGCGAAGCAGAAGCATTTGGCTATTCCCGAGTCAGACTCTAAGGGTCAAGCAGTTGAAATACTCTGCCACGACAGGTCTAACAAAATTTCAGAAATCGAGGAAGTATCTGAGTCAGTCTCTTACCAAGGCAAGCATCCTCAAGAACTCATAGCAGCATATCAACTTTCTACTTCCTCCGGTCCATTTTAATGTCTTTAAAGGTTTTGGCACACCCATTAAGAAAATCATTTCTCCTCAAAAATGAGTATACTGTTGCTGAGATTTTTTAAGAAAATTGTATAGATCATTTATTAGAGCAAGGTAGTATGAAAAAAAACAATTAATGCCTTTTGGTTTCCTTAAGCAATATTTATTTGGGAGAGAAATTGTTTTGTTAAATGACATAAAAATGGACCGGACGTAATATTAACTACATTTGCTGTCATTTGTTCCTATCCATGCAGATAATCCTAGTGGCTCAATGCCTGCATTAACAGATGTCTGCACCTTAACTCATACGTCCAACAAGGTAAGTCATTGAACTCCCTGTTCCTTTTTGAGCTTCGAGTCAAATATGACGAAGCCAAGGTAAGCATTCCAACCAAGCCAAGAATAAGAGGCCAAGAGGGAATATGAGTTGAAAAGTAGGGGAAGAAAACATTACCAATTCCGGAAAAAAAAAGTAGGGGAAGTTTCGAAACAAAGAAGAAAAGAGGAACTTTGGAGTTAGAATATTGGTTTTGATAGAAACTACTAGGAAATTATATTTATACCAATCAGCTTTTAACAGTAGAAGATTATAACACCAAACTTCTCATTCATTATTTACTTGAATGGATTCTCTAATGCTGATTATAACATTGTTTTTGCCACCAATACTTGTTTTCTGACAGTATCTGCTGTTTTCCTTAGCCTTCTGCGGATTACAAGCAGATCGATACCCAATGGCAAGAGGGATTTTCTGGTGTGATCAGTGATGCTTCAAATGATTCGGCTCCACAGTCCCCTTGTATCTCAACTAAGATAAAATCTGAGCATGACATCAGTGCAAGCAAAATGGATGATTTTCCGAGTTTTGATCTTGGATTTGACTAGGATTATTGTTATTTCGTTCTTTTCCATGTATCAGCAAAGTACCATCGGCAAGGCTTTTCTAATGGTTGTAGTTTCTTAACAATTACTGTTGATTAAAGAGAAAACAGAGTTAAAGATTTACTGAAGAATTGAAGCTAACGGCTTTGTGGATATTATGGTTACTAGACTCGGTAATTTTTGTATGAAGTGAGGATATGTGCATATTATGCTAGAGTAAGACTACTCAAATAATATATTTTTCATTTTGAGTTCAATGTTGTCAATATCTATATGTAATATTACATAAAAGTTTAAAATAACTAGGAAATATTCCCTCTAGCCCAATTTATATGACAACTTGGATTTTGAGAGTCAAACAAGAAAATTTTTTAGCACGATTTATTCGTATGTCCTTTTAAATATTTTACATTGTTAATTCTTGTGACTTATAGTAAGTTTTACATATGTAAATCATTTTTCTTGTATGTCCGAATTCGGTCAAAGTAAAAAGGTTTGACTCTCAAAATTTAAATTGCGACATAAATTGGGACTGAGGGAGTATGCAGCAGTATTTGCATAAACAATTTGATATGGTCACAAGAAGAAAGGCAATGAACTTTCAATAACAGAGAGTAGTTTTATATTTTACAGAGTTTTTGAACTTTTTTCTGCCCTGCATTTTCATATCTTTGGCTCATGCAGTAAGCCAGGTTCCCATATACTTGTAACCTGTTCTACTTTTTGTATGTAGTCGATACCATCAATCACTGCCTTTTTAGCTTGGGAAAACTTGACGATATCTCTATTTACTGGTTTCATCATCTATCGTCGTGGTATTTTGAAGGTATGCCTGCCTTTCTTAATCCCTGACCATGACCATGACGACCAAGAAATGCTGTAAGTAAATTCTTACTCTTTCTGGCGTATTCTTGCATATCCTTTGCACTGTTTCTTTCCGGATTTATGGACATTGACATCGCTCTCCGTGGCTCAGATGGACACTGTGCATATCCAAGAACATATAATATGATCACTTAGCATGAACCAGCATTTTTTTCTTCTCTACAAACATAATGTACTTGATTCAGCTACGTTGCTCAGACTCTTTAAAAATGTTGATAGGTGCATGTCGGATCCTCAAAAACTAACATGGATACGACAACTATTTTTGGAGAATCTGAGCAACATAGCTTGATTGCATCGATAAAAGTTCTTACCCTCTGTTTAATACTGGAAGTGCTGGGTGAAATTGATCTGGCTACAGCGGATCCAAAACGAATGAGAGGAGAAACTGATCTATTAACAGATCCAGAACGCTTGAGACCAAATCTAAGTGGTGAAATTGATCTTTTCCCTGTTACATTATTGAATATGTTAGTCGAGTTTATCTTCTACATACTGATAACATATAAAAAACACAGTACACTATCAGATCACCTAAACGATAACTACTACCAACAAAAACCACAAAAAGTAGGATTAGTAACATGGAAAAATAAGGCCAATTACCTCATAGAATAAGTTAACAACTACGATAGTGCAAAAAAAAAATTTACGTTGTTTGTGTATATAAGTTAAATCTGTGTTATTTAAGTTGTACTTACCAACTTCTTTGTTGGATGGACCCCTTGTAAATGAGAAGTTAAGAGGATTTGGAGAAGCATCTGTCCATGAAATCTTGGAATGGTTTTTCCTGTGTCAATTTTAAATTTGTTACAAATATTGTAGGCAAAAAATTGGCCCAAAAAAAAAGAAAAAAATTGTTATCAAGAATATGCTCTTTTATTGAAAAAACTTACATGTACTTTGGTTTAGATGGATGAGGCTTTAATGGTAGAGCTTGAAAAGGATGAGGAAAACAATCACCTAATGTCAAGAGAGAAAGAACCAAAGAAAGTTAAAAAGAAAAAGAATTGCAAAAAAAGGGCAAAGATTTAAAGAATTTTGTAAATTTTATGATCGTCACATCTGAAAGTTTAAATTGTTAGAAAGAGTACACTATTAATCTTATTCAATTACATTATGTTTTAACATGCCCCATTAAATTATGTGGTCGTCTCATCTAAAAGTTTAAACTGTTGAAGATATGATTATGTAAAAAATGTGCTCCTTATGACGGCATAAACTTTTAGACTATGTCAATCAAACTCTTCAAAAGCATTGCCGAGTCTGTGTCAGTTTTGAGGATCTGATACGTGTGCTTCAACGTCTCTAGAAGATTCGAGTAACATAACTTTTAGATGAGATGATTACACGATTCAACAGAATTCAAAGGCGCTAATAAGAGAACAAGAATGTGGCAAATAATGTACCATGATTAGGTAGCTGCAAGTCCTCTTGAGGACACAAGTTTTGTTCCTTATTTCTTTGTCTGGGTTTTGGAACTGCAGGTTGTGTCTCTGCAGCTGCAAAACGTAAACATTGAGAATGAAATTATTGTAACCCAAGGCGGATTCAGGATTTGAAGCTTATAGGTTCCTATAACAAAACTCAAGTTAATACTATACAACAATAATTGGATTTACACTCAAATATTTATAGATATTTAGTAAATTTTGCAAAATTTACTGAATTCACGTGAACCTGTAACCAACAATACTAATGAAGAGGAGGGAACAAGATACTTGCCTGTATTTATGTAACGCTTATGTTGCTTTGGAGTCACAATTATCAAAGATTGTTGCAAAAGGCCACTTCGATCAACAATTTCTTGGCATGTTTGCAATTTCTAATAAAAAAAATTAACACAAAAAAAAGAAAATGACAAGTTAGGAGACTCATAATTCTTCCTCTATAAATGTAATAAAATTTCTAGTAATAGAAAAACTAATTGCTTATAATGGACTAAGAAAACACCGAATGCAAGTAAGTTCTTACCATATACCAGATCATCTAAAAGAGTAACTACAAGTAACCATTCATAAAGAGTATAAGATCGTTAACCTCAAAACTAAGACATGTTACATGCTACAACATGTTAACTAATATCAAAAGTTCCTTACACTAACAATATAACAACAACAACAATAATCACGGTACGCCACAGTCCCAAACAAGTCGGAACTGATTATATATATGAATCTACACTGTCTGTATATATAAGTCAAGTATATTACCTGTTCCATGCACGAAAATCGAAGCTTGGTTGTAGAAAACTCATCAACTTTTTCATCCAAGAAAGTATTTAATTTACAAGCCACAGAGCCCAAGTGATCCACACTACTAACTAGAGCTTTACTCACATAATCTTTCAAAGTCTCTATCACTCTGTACACATTTTCAATCAAAAGAAAATTAAAAAAATTATGAATACCTAAAATTGGTTAATAAAAAAAAATAAAAATATCCAACAAATAATTCAATGAGAAAGGGAATTACTTACAATGTTTTGTGTTCATTTTCTCCATAAGATGACTCAAAGTATTCAGCAGCAGAATACAACTGTTTCCTTAAATTCTTCAAGTCCTAAATTGCCAAAAAACACACACACAAAGAGTTTAAGTTATATACGTTGACATTATACACAATCATGAAAAGTTAACTTGCATTGATAAGTAATTAGAAGTTTATGGTGGTTTGAACTTTTCACCAGATCCATAGCTCGTTTTAGTTATGGGTTCGTAATCAAAATGTATATGGTCTAAGCAAAACCTACTAGGTTCGTCTGAATATAGTTCCGCGTTGGTAGGTAGCTCTTCATATCAAAGATTGGTATAATAATCTAGTTAATGAAATGAGAACTTGCTATAACTAGTAAAATTGCATTGATAGTGTAAAAACTTGTGTACAAATTCAATGCATATAGCTTAAATCCAAAATGAAAACCTCCATTTATGCCATAAAAAACCCAAGATTGAATCTTTTATCACATTAAACACGGATACAGTCAAATCTTTCTATAACAGTTATCGTCTGTAATAACATTTTACTATAACGATCAAGTTTTATCTGGAACTGATTTATCATGTTATATTATATTATATGTTCTCTACAATACCAACATATCATGTGTAATCCGACAAGTGGGGTATGAGAGGGGTTATGTATACACAACCTTATCCCTACCCTGTGAAGTTAGAGGGATTGTTTCTGAAAGACATTTGGCTCAAGTAACACAAATCCAAATCAATAAGGAAAAAGAAATAATGAAGAATGAAATAATAGCACACAAACAGTACGTATTATATGTTCTCTAAAACAACATTTCACTATAACAATCACAAAAAATAATTCGAACACACGTGTTGTTATAAAGAGATTTGACTGTAAATTGTAATGGAGAAATGAAAGTTAATACCTTTAAACTATCAGAAAATTGCAAGCTATGCTGCATGAAGATTTCATCATAATTTGAACCTTCTTGAGAACCATTTGCTCCACAAAATGGATTCTCATTTCCCATGTTTAGACTATAGTATTTTGATTCTTGAAAATAACAAAAAAAATAAAAATAGAACAGAGCAAACTTGCAAATATAAAGGATAAACGATTTAATATATCTAACAAACTCCTAAAGTGTAAAATAAAAATTCAAACTTTTAATTCAAACCTAATACTCAAAAATGAATTTATTGGGAGACTGAGAAGAAGAAGAAAAGTGAGAGCAGAAAAAAGGGACAAAAGATCATCAATAATACAAGTGGTGGGAAGTGATGTGTGAGAGACAGGGTTGTGGGGTACCAAGAATCTAAAAGGATGGGCTCACATATACTCAAAAGTTACGAATTTAACCGAACTCAATAATTTTAATTTGATATATATATTCGTATGAAAAAGTCGCTTGATGTATAAATAATTTCTCTATAACTCAATAAGCAAAAAAGTAATATTCGTTCTCAATCATAGTAGAATGAGGTTTTTTCTTTATCAATACTTATTTTTATGATTTTCTTTCAAAAATTTAGGAGATGCTATTTTTCTAGAGTCCGACTCTTCAATCTAAAAAAAAGATGATCGATCGTAGTTTAAAATCTATAATATAAAATTTAAAATCCGTCTTTTATATATATATATAATGTGAGGCATGCTTCTAAAACATGCTTTTAACATTTAGTGCCACATTTA